AGAAAAGTGGATCAGCCAAACATGGAGGTATAAGCCTGGAATCCCACATTCAGGAAACTGAGGCAGGAGGATCAAGTAGCTGGAGAGATGGCTCAGTGGGTAAGATGTTTGCCACATAAGCATGAAGACCTGACTGGATCATCAGAACCCATACAAATAGCTGGGCATGGTAGCTGGGAGGTAGAGGCAGGAGGATCCTGAGGGTTCTGTTCCCTGGCCAGCCAATCTAGCCAATGAGTGAGCTCCACATTCAGTGAGAGACAGTCCCCCCAAAAGATGGAAAGCAATTGAGGAAGACATCCAATGATGACCTCTGACCTCAGCAAGTGTACACATTCTTATACCAGACACACATGCACACACATATACCTGCATACAACAACAAAAAAATGTTGGACTGTCTTACCTAGGGTTTCTGTTGCTGTAAAAGGACACCATGACCAAAAGCAACTTGGAGGTTTATTTCTGCTTACATGTTCAGATCATAGTTCATCATTCAGGGAAGTCAGGGCAGGAACTCAAACAGAGCAGGAACCTGGAGGCAGAGGCCATAGAGGAGTGCTGCTTACTGGCTTGCTCCTTGTGGCTTTCTTAGCCTGCTTTCTTAAAGAACCCATGACTATCTGCCCAGGGACACTGGGCCCTTGCACATCAATCATGGATCAAGAAAATGCACCACAGGCCAACCTGGTGGGGGCATTGCCTCGATTGCCATTACCTTTTCCAAAATGACTCTAATTTGTGCCAAGCTGTGTAACGTGTACTCTTTTCCGCCAGCTGTCTGGGTCCTGCCGCTGTCTCTGCCCCCAAATAATACACGAGACATTATATTAATTTGAAACTGTTGGCCTTTTGCTATGGTTTCTTATCGACTAGCTCTGATTTAATTATTAACCCATAACTGCTAATCTGAGTATTTCCACGTGGTCTTTTCTTACCGGAGAAAGGGTCCAGACATCTTCTCTTGAGTCCTACATGGTAACTCACTGTGCCTCCATTTCCCAGAATCCTCCACCTCTCCTAGTCTTACCTATCTTGCTTCCCTATTGGCCAACAGTATTTTATTTATCAACCAATAGGACAAACATATACACAGAAGGACTTCCCCCATCAAAGCTGACATAAAGGTAGCCAGCACATGGACAAAGTATCTGCTCCTGCATGACCAACGCTTCACCTCTAAGGCAGGATGGATCCCACACAATTCTTGGGCTCCCAGGTGAACAGGAAGGAGTCCTACTTTGAATGTTAGCCTCACAGTAGACTTGCCCCATGTAAAACTGTACAGATAGAAACAAACACACATATCTCACTTTTGAACCGCACATATTCCCCTGACCTTGGAGAAACAATACAGGGAGAGAATAAGGGACACAAACTTTGGAGCTGTCCTGACTGGAGTCCCAGCTGTGTGGCCTCCTACAAGTGAAAGCCTGGCTTTCTCAAGTGTGAGAAGTGCTGATGTCAGATCTGGGCAGCACTGAGTGAGTCCTAAGAGTCTGCAGAGCTCACCACAGCTGGCCTGGAGTAACAGCTTGGTGAAGACTGGCTGTTTTACCTTCAGAGTGAAGCCTCCCCTGGTCCTCTCAATGCTCCGTGTGAATAAAGTCTTCCATGAACAGCAGACTTGCCCCAGGACCCACGATCTGACCTGAGGTGCCTCAAGGCAGCCAGGCTAGGCCAGCTAGGCCAGAAAGCCAGCATTGCAGGGACTTTCCGGTGCCTACCTCTGACAGCTCCTGAGCCTGGTAAGGACAAAACACAGACAAGCTCTCTCCTGCCTTTCCTGAAGCCACAACTTTGAGAAGTCCACACCCAAGCTGTAAGAACTGTAGGCCCAGCACCAGCTGCCCTTCCGTGGGGGTGGTTATCCATTCCAGTCCTATTTGTAGAAGCATCCTGCCCAGCCAGCCTCCTGCTGAGGAGGCTCAAGGAGTGCTGGGGTCCTCCCCTCCCTGCCTCAGGGGAAGATGCAGCAACAGCAGGTAAAAAACTTTCAGCCCTGCCTTCTACTAGCTCAGGGGACTCTCAGCATCTTCCTGACCTTGGAGCATGTCAAGTTTGTTTTCTGTTGCTATAATAAAACGCCAGTACCAGAAGCAACTTGGGGAAGAAAACGTGTTGCAGCTTACAACTCTCAGGTCACACTCCATCAATGAAGGAAGTCAGGGCAGGAACCTGGAGTCAGGAACTGATGCAGAAGCCAGGGAGGAGCGATGCTTTCTGGCTTCCTCCTGCTTGCACAGTTTGCTTTCTTATATACCCTAGGACAGCCGTTCTCAACCTGTGGTTAGCAACCTCCTTGGCAAACTTCTATCTCCAAAAATATTTACATTGCGATTCATAACAGTGTGCACGTGTACACTACCATGCAGACCCTACAGATATTCTTACTATGCAAAAATAAAAAAATGCAGAGAACTAAAGCTCAGGGCACAAGCTGTCTGCCTGGAGGCCCTCCATGAACAGGCCTTCCTTTCTACCACTTGCAGAATGGCTCTGGGATCAGCTGCCCTGCATGAGGGATGGTATGAAGACGAGACTCGCCTACAGGAGGTTTCAGGGTCTCTGCTGCCTATGGAGTAGCCCTGTCACCCTGTCCTGGAACCCTTGTGTGTGGTGATACATTGTTTATCATTTATTAAAGCTTGCCTGAGGACTCAGAAAGCAGAGGCAGCCTCAAACTGTAGACATCAGGCAGTGGTGATACAGACCTTTAATCCCAGGACTCAGGATTAAGAGGTTAGTTCAAGGCCACACTGACTACACAAAATTGATCCAATCCTAAAAGAAACAGCTCTCACAAAGGTGATCTCAGCACCTGGGCTCACGTGCCTTTAATCCCAGCATTAGGGAGGTATATAAAACAGGAGCAGGGTCTCAGAGTTGGCATTCAGTCTCAGAATCAGTCTCGGGGCAGGCTTCAGAGGGCATAGCAGTCTGAATCTGAGGAGCAGTGAAATTTGGAGCAGTCTAAGGACCACCCTTTGGTCTGAGCTGAGGCAGAGGTGAGAGCTAGTGGCTGGCTGCCTTGCTTTCTGATCTTCAGCTTGAAGCTTGATCTGTCTCTGGGTCTTTTATTTATCAGATGTTACACTTATGCATCTGTAGCTTTTGCCCTCCGAAGGCCAATATGTCAGAGAAGCTGGCTTGTTAGCGCCTGTGTTCACATGAACAACTGAATTCCAAGGCCTTCCCTGAACACAGGGCCAACGACATTATTGTTCTAAGCCCATGTCAAATATTTATAATACAAACAATATTACATCCATAGCAGAAATAAAAAAAATCACCCATAATCCCCCAAACCTAGAGAGTGGACAGTTTGGTTTTCTTTTGATTTAGTTTTTGGTTTTGGCTTCTCTTCCAGCTCTTGTCCCTGCACAGAAATGACCTTTCCAGAGCTGGGCTTCTGTCCTGATGCAATATCACACTGGGCACGGCATCCCCAGCTCTCTCCTGTGCTGCGGCAGCCTTCCCAATTAGCTTTTAAACATGAATGCTGAGAGCTGGGCGTGGAGGCCGCAGCTTAACCTCAGTCAAGGTGTTTTTCCCTTTCCGAGCCTGTTTGTTCCCTTAGGCTACACTCTCAGGTGTAGGGTTGCTGGGGAAGATGTGGTGGATATTTTTGCAGCTCTTCACAGAGTTTTGCCTGGGGCTGGCAGAGCGCTGGCACTCTGGAAGAGGGCTGTTAGGGGACCCAGGGTCAGAGAAGGTCTCTAGACTCACTGAATAAGATGAAGTTTTGCCCTGGGTCTATCTTCAAAAGCCTTTATCCATGAGGAGAAGCCCTGAGATTTGAATAGAGGCTGAGTCGACAGGTAAGCAGCCTCCTGCCCCTGCCTCCTGCCCCTGCCTCCTGGCCTCCCCTAACCACAGCCTCAGGCCTGCAGTGTTCACCCAATCCAAGGCAGGGAGGAGACACTCCGGAGCAGCAAACCACCGCCCGTAATTCAGACGGTAAGCGTGACTGCAGTTGCTGCTGGGAAAAGCCACCCAACATCCTTGTGTCCTGGAGCCCTCCAAGAAAGCACCAAGGGCTCTGTGTATAGCTGCAATGAGCTAGACCTAGCCCAGAACACCGCCAGGAGAGGTGACAAGGAAGGAGACATGATTTCTGCCGTGATGCCCCCACAGTCAAGTAGGCTGAGGTAGATTACCTGAGCATTCCCATCTTGCTTGTACGTGAGGGTACCCAGAGGAGCTTGTGGGTCTGCTGACACACAACTGTAAAACCCAGAACTTGAGAAGCTTTGGCAGGAGATTCAAGGCTAGCCTGGGCTACCTAGGAAGACCCTGTCTCAACAACAACAAAAAATTTTAGTGTGTATATGGTGATTGCATGAGTATGTGTCTGTGTGTGCATGTGTGGGGTACATATACACATGTGTGGGGTACATATACACATGTGTGGGGGTACATATACACATGTGTGGGGGTACATATACACATGTGTAGGGGTACATATACACGTGTGGGGGTACATATACACATGTGTAGGGGTACATATACACATGTGTGGAGGCCAGAGGCATCTTCCTCTACCATTCTCTACTCTCTTTTTGAGAGACAAGATAGAACTAGTTATATAGCCTAGGACAAGCTTGAATTTTTGATCCTCCTGCCTCCACCTCTCCTCCCACCTCAACTCCCCCAATCTCTAGTGCTGTCATTCTGAGTGTGCACCACCACACCCCATTTGTATTGCTGGGAAAGGAACCCAGGGCTTCATGCACACCAGGCAAGCACTCTCCCTACTGAGAGGCCTGGACATCACCCAGCTTCTGGTCTCTCCAGCAGCTTTTCTGTTGCTCTTGGAACATTTTCTTCTTCAGGTCAGATGGCCTGGGGGCCCTACTGGACACGCTAGATTATTTTTTGATGTACAGGTAGAGGGGTGTGTGTATCTATATTTACATGTACATGAGCCCACATGTGTTGGTGGGCACATGGGTAGGTGAGTGCATGGGGAGGCACCAAGTTAACATTGGATGTCTTCCTTGATCATTTTCCACTTTATTTATTGAGACAGGGTCTCTCACTGGAACCCAGACCTTGCCCAATACCTAGTCCAGTGTCTTAGTCAGTGTTCTGCTGTGAAGAGACACCGTGACCATAACAGCTCTTATAAAGGAAAGTATTGAATTGGGGCTGGTTTTTGTTTCAGAGGTTTAGTCCGTTATTGTTACTCGGGGAAGCATGGTAGCACGCAGACAGATGTGGTGCTGGAGAAGTAGCAGAGAATTCTCTATCAGCAGGCAGCAGGAGAGTGAGTCACTGAGCCTGGCCTGAGCTTCTGAAACCTCAAAGCCTGCCCCCAGTGACACACTGCCTCTAACAAGGCCACACCTACTCCAAAAAGGCTGCAAGTTCTAATCCTTTCAAATATTATCATTCCCTATGAGCCTAAGGGGGCCATTTTCACTCAGATCACCACATCCAGCCAGCTGTTTGTTCTGGGGGATCCCCCATCTCTGCCTCCCAAGTTCCAGCCAGATCCAGCCAGATCCAGTTCTCATCATTGTCTGGTAAGCACTCTACCACTGAGCCATCTCCCCAGGCCCCACATTCTGGTTTTGATAGACACTGGGCCTAGGAACCTCCAAGCAGAGCAGGCCTAGGGCTTCCTTTTGGTTCCTGAGATCCTCGTGGGTCTCTCTGTCTCCTTGGGGAGACAGGGGCCTGAGCCCTGGTCAAGAGGAGGTTCCCTTTTCCCCTTCCAGAACCTTCCCCCAACCACACACACTCATCGAGGGCCAGTCCTCCGTGCTCCACCTCTGTAAGTGCTACTGTCAGGACATGATCCATGCACGGGGAGGGACTTCAGCCACTGTGCCCCTGCCCCCGGGTGTCTACCTGAGGCCCTGTGCTCTCAAAATAGAACATGAACCATATGGCACCTGGCTTCCAGGACTCGGGTTGCAGAAGAGTGGCTATGGCATGGGCAGGGAGCTGGGAGGGAGAAGCATGATTTTCTCCAAGCCCCTTCTCTAGGAGAGGGGTCTTTCTAGAGAGTCCCTGAAGGACAGATGTTACCAGAAGGGGTGCAACTGGCACTGTTCAGATAGCTGTGGTCAGACTGAGTTGTGTGACAAAAGTTTTCCTGGGGAAACGCAACACACACATCTCCTCGCCCCAGATAGGGATCCCACATCAGACCAAATTATGGATACCACCAGAGTCCAACTTGGTAAACCAGTGAGTTCTGTTGGGTTACTAACAGGAGTGTGGGTGAGAAGTTACTTACAGCGACAGGAATGATGCAAAGATAGCAGTGTCAGCAAGGCCCACCTAAGCATGGGCGACAGCTCACAAGATCCAGGAGCCTGGAGCCAACCGCACAGCCTGCAGGCAGCTCAACAGGTTGAAGAGGGTCCTTTCCAAGGGACTCTGGTCTAAACTGCTTCCAGACCACTCAGCTGGCTTCTGGTTCTTCGGGGGAGCTTGGTCAGGTCTGAGTCTTCTTAGCAGCTCTGAGAGCTACACTCAGCTTTTATTGTTCACTCTGGCAGGGAGGGGCCTAGTGAATCTCGTTAGTTTCATGGACTTCCTGAAGCTATTTTGAGTTGTTAACCTTCCTCTTTAAGGAGCTTTCTGCAAGACGGGATGTCTCCATGTCAGAGGAAACAGCTACACAACAGACTGAGACAGACCGGAAAGGAAGTCATGGGAGGTGAACTCCCAGCCCCACCCCCAGCAAGGTCTCCAAACAGCTGTAGGATTTTTCTTCCTTCATAGTACTACCAAGGCTCAGGGGTGCGCAGGTCTCCCTTTGTGTGTCCTTGTCCTCGCTGCCGTGACAATGACCAAGGTGGAAGAAGGGTCTGCAGATGTCACGAAGTTCAGATTATCCTGGCCCAAAAAGTGGCCTGCTTAGGCAGAGCGGAGAGACACGGAGACACAGGGACAGCGGTGTGAAGACGGAGGCACACGTGGGAAGACGGGAGGCAGAAGGTGGGCTGCAAACCCGGAGACACTGGAACAGGAAGCTGAGAGAGATAATCTCTCTTCCCTGCCCTTCCTCTTTTTCATCCTCTTCGCCGTCTCTCCCCCCTTTCCGAGACAGGGTCTCACTGCTCCGTCTCTTGAGTATTCGGATTGCAGGTTTGTGTTACCTCCCAGAAGTGGACAATGCTTTTCTTTGATTTTCACACCTTTATGTATTTGCGTGTAGAGTGTGTAAGCACTGCGGCATGCAAGGGCTATCACAGGACAGCAGGGGGTATCACAGGACAGCTTTTGGGTATCGGCTATCCCCAACCACAGTGGGTCCTAGAGAGCAAAGGGCAGGCTTGTGTGGCAAGCTCAACAGCCCACACAAGGCATTTTGAATAGACACAGGAGTCACAGTCCAGGCCCAGTCTAGCTAGCAAGTCCCCTGAATAGGCACATGTGACAGTAGTCTGGGAGAGGATATCAATCAGACACCTAAGAAAGGACAAGATGGGAGATCCTGGGTTATGTGGATCGGACTGGTTCTTTTGAGTCAGTTTGTGGCGATGTCAGAGGGAGACAGACCTCTAAGACCAACCTCATCCTTCCCATCCTCTGTCACCCGCGGATCCCAGCAGAGTGAGCATCACCTCCATGAGGCATCATTGAGGCTGGTGGGGAGAAACCAACACGGCTGCACGTTTTAAATATGCTGTGTGTTCTGTGCTTGCAGAATGCTTCCAGATGCGATCTTCTGCGCCACGGTAATCCTGGGAAGGAGAAGGAACTGTATCTACAGTTGTCAGTCTGGCTTTCCTGCTCTGTGCCACTCCCTCCCTCCAGATCCTGCCCATTGTCCCAGCAATTTCACTACTGTGACCATCTCTCAACGCTAGTCCCTGGCTTAGCTCCTCCTCTCCACTTCAAGGCACCCCTTACTTCCCAGGCTCTACATTTCCCCGGGTTGTAAACAAAGTCTAAAAGAACACCTAGTCCTGAGGACCTGGGTCTACATTTTCAACTCTGCTACTTATGTCCTGTGACTGTGTGACCTTGGGTAGGTCACTTATCTCTCAGGCTCTCCATTCCTCCAGTATGACACTGTGAACTGAACCCAGTACTGTACATTTTCTCCTCCGTCTATGCCAGCAGCCTGCTCACTTCTCTTTCCCCGGCTGCGATCTTCCTGCGTGCTCACCCTCCCGCTCTCCCTGCTCCACATGATGTTTAAGGATCTACCTACCACTGAAGTGTGTGTGTGTGTGTGTGTGTGTGTGTGTGTGTGTGTGCCTGAGTACATGGGCTTGTACCATGTGCATTGGATCATTGGATCCCTTGGAACTAGAGTTACAGGCAGTTGTGAGCCACCCAATGTGGATGCTGGGAAATAAACACTGGTCCTCTTCTAAGAGCAGCTCTTAACTCCTGATTCATCTCTCCAGCCCTCCACGTGGTGTTTTATCATTCAGCTAGACTGTGAACACCCTGAGAGCAAAGATGGAAGATGGATATGATATCCATGAGCAAGACTCATGAATTAAGACATGCTGATGGATTAGTGGGCAAGAACCACATGTATTTGGTTTAGAAGCCTGCTCCTCTTTACAAGGTACATATGCCTGCAGTGGGCAGGACTCAAGGTGGGTACTAGGCGTCTCTGTTTACCTTGGCTGCTGGTAGTGGGGTGCATACCCACACTGTGGGTTCTGCAGCTTCAGCAAGGAATACAAAGAGGTCTCCCAGAGAATGCTGCATGCTGCCTTCTGCCTCCAAAGCCCACACCTATACCATAATCAAAAGATGGTATCAGAAAACACTCGGGGCTGGCAGTTCTTATGTTACTGCCATACCTGCTGGCAGGGTGGGGTGGAGGGGGACACAGCCCTTACTGTCTCCTGCTGGTAACTTTGGGAAGACAAAGTAGGGATCTGCCTCTCCATTTAGTGGATTCACTCAAGGCTGAGCACAGTGTGGAGTCTATTTCCATTTCCTTGTCAAATTCTGGTTTGCAGAGGATGCTTGCCTGCCTATGTGGCTAAGACACTTTCCCCTTATGCCATTAGATGTGGGAGTGCTGGGAAGATAGCTCAGTTAGTAAAGTGCTTGGCTTTCAAGCATAAAACTTGTGTTCCATCCCCACAGTCCATGTGTTAAAGGGATGAGGAGCTGGAGAAAAGATTCACCAGCAAGAGCACTGGCTGCTCCTTCAGGGGACCAGAGTTCAGTTCCCAGCACCCACATCCAGTGGCCACCAAACTATAAAGCAAGGTGCCCAATGTCATGATCAGGGATCTATAAAGAGGGCTGAAGGCAATTTGCTCCAACACATCACAGTAACTCCATTCAGAAACAGACCTGGAAGAGACCAGGGCTTTGCTCAAGGTCAGGCTTGAATGGAGACTAGGGCCCAGGTGTCTGGAGGTCCAATCTCCTGGTGGTCCTAGTGCCCATACCTGCCAGCAAGACTGGACAGGGAGCAGAGGGCAGAGGAGAGGTGACTAGAGGAAGGACCAAGATGTCTGTCCACTGCCCACTGGAGCCTTTCAGGTTGCTCCTGAGCCTTGACTGCCTGCAGAGGGGCGGGAGGAGGAGGCAGCAGCTTTGGGCTGTTCTTCTGCACCTGGAGAGCCAGCTTCCAGACCCCTGGAGCCAGGTTTGTCTTCTGTGTCCCTTCCTTCTTACCTCTGTGTCCACTAGCTGGCAGAGGGCCATGCCCAGCACCTTGCAATCTGGGAGTCTGGGTCCTGGGACTCAGAGCCCTCCGAGAAGAGTAGAGCATTGCCAAGGAGCCACTGTCCTGGTGGACTGGAGGCAGGATAATAGCCAGGGTCCTCTCAGCAGGGGAGAGGACTCTATGGGGTGGGGCATCACACCAGTTGCTTTCAAGTCTTCAGTGAGCTGCACCCACAAGGTGGCCTCTGAGCTCCCAGACCTCAGATCTAAGGGTAGGGATAGTGTGGAGTACCCACCAGAGGTGCAAGGTGCGAGAGAGGACCGTGTGCTCTTCAGATTCCAGCTAAGTGGCACCTGAGTCTGAAGAGACGCGGTGAGGCTTCGGAAATGAAGAGGCCCATGGTTCAGGGCCCTAGGCCTGGAGCGGCCCGGGAGCTGGGAGGGAAGCCCATCTCTCGGCTCCTCCCCGTGGCCGCCCTGCCCCGCCCCGTGTCGGGACAGCCTGGGCGGGGACCCGCGGCTGCAGGGCGCGCCGTCTGGTGCTCCAGGTGCAGTTCCCATGAGCCTGGGGGCCCGCGGTGGCCCAGGAGGAGTGGCCGGTCTCCAATCTGCCCCTGCCGTGTCTCTGCGCCCTGTCCACTGGACGCCAGTGAGCCTCAGAACCAAGGTAACCGAGGGCGGGACTCGACCAGTGTTCCCCACGGGTCTCCGCCTCGCGTGCGTCCACCCAGTCCATGCGCTCCGTCTCTCTGCCCCTAAGAAGCAAAGTGCGGGTGCTGCTTGGAGATGAATCTTGGAAAGTTTGCGCCGGGACAGCGGGTGCACCAGGCAACTGCCAAGGCAGACACTTGTAGCCGCATACCCCGAGTCCACGTGAAAGAGAAGATGCCTTTGCCCCAGCCTCTCTGAGCATCCAGTTTTTCTCTGAATTAGAGCAGCGAAACAGACACCCTCCCCATTCTGGCTCTCCAAACCTGAAAAAAAAAAATCCTGGGGTGGGAACTGACAGTTGGTAATTCTTAAGCCTTAGGGATGTTTATGTCTGTACTTCCCGCCTCCTTCCCCCACAGACGCGCGCTATGAACCAGTCAGATGGTGTGCATGGTAGGCACAGTTTTGTGCCGAAAGAGGTAGGTCTGCACCCTGATGAAGAGGGTGCCTGGCCACAGGCCACAAGGAGCTGTTTTTTGTTTTTTATTTTCCCCTGCCTCATTCTATTTGGTCAGGCCGAGTCCTCTCTGACGTCCATCCAAGGAGGCTTAAGTCCAAGTCTGATGAGCCTAGGTCAGGATGGGGGCTGCAGCCTGCAGGTGCAGAGCACCGGAGCCCACTCAACCCTTATGGTTGTGCGCACAAGGGGCTTTCTCCCTTCAGTGAGAGAAGGGCGCACTGCCTAGTGGAGAAAGGACAGCTGCACCTTCCCTCAGAGCCAGACAGAAGAGGTGGGGGAGGGTGAATACCAAAGTAGCCATCATGACTGACATGGTCACCCCTGATTTCACTTTTCCCCGGGACAAACCATGCAGGTGGCAGATGAAGAAAGAAAGAAAGAAAGAAGACCCCAAAAAGCTAAGCATTTGGCTCAAGCACAGTGGTGGGCCTCAGCCGCTGCCTGAGATCAGGTGCTTCTTCATTTTAGGAGATTACTACATCGTTTATTACTGTATGTGTGTGGTGGGGTGTGTATGGAAATCAGAAGACAATTTGCAGGATAGGTTCTCGTCCTCTACCATGTGGGACCTGGGGTTTGAACTCAGGTTGTCAGGATTGGTAGTAAATGCCTTTACCCACCCGATGAGCCATTATGCTGTTTCTGCATTCTGGTTGTGACCAGCAGGGGCCTGTTTCTCCTTGGGCTCCTCTGCAATTCAGGAGTGCTCAAGGCAAGGGCACCTCCAAATAGAACTCAAATCCCCTTAGGAAACACTGCCAAGACCCATCCAGCCCCTTGTTAAGCTCCCAGACAGCAGGAGGCAGGACCCGTGTGTCCATCTGTGGCCATAGCTCTTGGCATCGGGAAGAAACTTAGCCAGAACAGCGTGAGTTAACCAGAAACAGCTGAGTTCTTTTCCAGCAGGCAGGTCTTTGTCCTTGAAGAGCAGGAAGGACGTGGAAATGTAGGACCAGAAAACTGCAGACACTCTCCCAAATAGATACCTTCACACACTGCCCCTACAAGGGGAAACTTCTTTCTTAATTCAGCAAATAAAACCATTATCGTTAATCCCACTTATTGTAGGGGCAAGGAAAGACAGTATACAGGGTGAAGTGTCCCTTCTTCCCCACTCAGGAGGGCTCATTCGGAAACATTACTTGCCATTGCCTTTTCTTTTCTTAAATATTTTTAAATTTTTATTTTATGTGCATTGGTGTTTTACCTGCATGTATGTCTATGTGAGGGTGTTGGGTCCCCTGGAACTGGAGTTACAGAGAGTTGTGAGCTGCCATGTGGATGCTGGGAATTGAATCTGGGTCCTCTGGGAAGAACAGTCAGTGCTCTTAACCACTGAGCCATCTCTCCAGCTCTCTCTAGTCCTGTCATTGCCTTTTCTTGATTCTTACCTCCCTGCAGGGTTGCCAGGGATTGGGAAAGTAATTCACCTTTCTTTTTCTTTCTTTTTTTTTCCCTTTGGTTTTTCCAGACAAGGTTTCTCTGAATTGCTTTGGAGCCTGTCCTGGAGCTTGCTCTGTAGACCAGGCTGGCCTCGAACTCACAGAGATCAGCCTGCCTCTGCCTCCGGAGTGCTGGGATTAAATCATCTGTAGGCTGCAGAGTAAATCCAATGGGTGTGGTGGTGGTGGTGGTGGTGGTGGTGGTGGTGGTGGTGGTGATATATGTGTGTGTGTGTGTGTGTGTGTGTGTGTGTGTGTGTGTGTGTGTGTGTGTGTGTGTATGTCCTCTAGGTGGGCTTTATGTTTCCCTTAAGCAGTAACTCTGTATCCCCGTATTCCCCAGAGAGCAAGCCCCATCAAAAGCATGGAGCATACAGTAGCTTTGCAAGAAGTATTCACTGATCAGAATTAATCTCTATAAGAAGGAAAATTCCTTCTGGAGAGCCTGAATCCCTCTCCTTCTTCTTCTTCCCCTTGTAAGAAGTGACACCCTGCCATAGAAGCAAGGACCAGGAGATTTGAGAAGAGCTCGGCGCAGGCTCCCAGAACCCAGGCAAGGGCCTTCAGGCTGGCTGCCCCCAGAGTCTCCTAGAGGGATCTCGGTGAGCTGATGGCCACTGCTAGGAGCAGCGGAGGAGGCCCAGTGAGGAGGAATCCCCGCTTCCTAAGGAGGGGTGGAGGCAAAGATGAGTTGGGCTAAGTGGCCAGGCTGAGAAGGCTGGTGGGAGGGGGAGCTCAGAGGTTCCCCTGGGAATGCAGGAGAGCCTGGGGGCAGCAGTGGCACACCCACCCTCATACAGAAAGCAACTTTTCTGCCTGACCCTGATACACCCACTGGGAGCTTTGGCTTTTTGCCCCAGCCCTGCCTTTGACCCCAAACAGCTCAGTTCATTGTCAGCACTGGAATGCACCTGCTGAACCTTGGAGTTGGGGCAGGGAGTGTGGGAGCCCAGCCTTGAGGAATGTGTAATTTCCCAGCTTGCTGGGATAGTTGGGGAGGAGGAGTGGGCCTGTCAAGGAAGTATCGCAAGGCTTCACCTGAGTAAGTCAGGGTGGGGCTTCTCCGTCTCTGAGGCCATTGTAGACCTCCCCATCTATCTGCCATCCTTACCCCTAGCCACCCTCTGTGGGTCCCTTCTTTTGGAGAGAGTGAGGACATGACTGAGACCTGGTTTTCTGTCCCCTTGCATGTTGGCTTTCTCCTACAAGTTTGATGGCTTTCCACCATAGAGGATGGAAAAGTACGCCTGTTGCAACACTTCATGAGTCAGTGTTCACTTTGATGTCCAGTGTCCGGCCCTCACTTGGAGACAGTGTTGACTCTTTGGAGACAAGGACAAGGATGACCCTGGGGATTGTTATGAGATTGTGTAGGCTGGCAGAGGGGAGCCATCACATGTGAAGATATGATTGTTTCTTGCACTCAAGGAAAGGATGGTGCCCCCCCAAAGTGGTGGTCCAGTTTTATCCCCCTCTGACTTGTCCGCTAAACTGGATTTTAGCCTGTAGTGTTCCCCTGCCTTCTGATCTTGACCAGGCCAGGATCACCCACAGCAGGCTCTGGACCGTGGGACCTGAGAAGGGAAAGTTGCCTGAGTCTCAGACCGCACATTTTGCCCCTTAAGGTCATCCCCTTTGGTTAATTAGTAGCTTTGTAGCCAAGGTGGTGAGTGCAACTTGAGGAATTCATTGGGAGCCTGTCAGAGACACAGAGTCCAACCATACAGACTCTAGATACCAGAATCCAGCTGCTCTTAGGAGCCTGCCACTGACCTAGGCTACATTCCTAACAGCCGAAGACCAATGTGGCTAACTGATTCTGGTTCTGGTTCTAACTTTGTCCAGCTGGCAGTGTGACATTGGATCTATCTCTTTCTGAGCCTAGGTTTCCGTATCTGTCAGGGTAGCCTGGATTCTATAAAGGTGTCTTACCTTTAGCACCATTGCCATTTGGAGGCAGAGAGAGGGGGCCTATCTTGTGCCATAGTGGGTGTTTCCCTGTACCCTTAGCCCCTATACAACAGGGCCACCACACCACATCATTCCTGAGTCATATATATATATATATATATATATATATATATATATATATATATTACTCATAGAGACCAGAAGAGGGAGTTAAAGATGGTATGAGCTACCATGTAGGTGCTGAAAACCAAACCTAGGTACTCTGGAAGAGTAGCCAGTACTCTGTCTCCTTTGACTGGCTTCAAGTTCACAGAGATTTGCCTGCCTCTGCTGGGATTAAAGATGTGTGGCATTAGGCTGGGCTTCTGAGACCTTTTTTTTTTTTTTTTTGACGCCTGAGAATGCCTCTGGACATCACCAGATGTGCCCTGGGGCAGCATCACCTCTGGTTGAGAAGGACTGCATGAGGTCTCTGAAGACCTCCCCTTCCCCAGGATGTGTCTTGGTACAAAAGGGCTTCCAGCTAGTTCAATGAGTGTGCCCTGTACATGAATGAGGAGTGAGCAGGACAGGTCAGAGGGAAGGCAAGGCTATTGGACCTCATGCTGAGAGGAGGGAGTAGAAGGCATGGGCATGGTCAGCAACCTTCCGGTGCAGGGTAGCATAGTAATGACTCCTGTGTCCCTGCTCCACATTCCCCTCTCTCCTTGCCCTGGGAAGGGATACAGGAAGTGAATCAGCTCAGCAACCACAGGAGAGAGGGTGCCCTTTGAGATGCATGCTCACGCCCCAACCAACCTACTCTGACTGTGTTTTGATTATTCCTTCCATGCTAGCTGTTTATTAACTCTGTCCACGGAATCCCCTTCTAACCTTGTTGCTTAACGGAAAGGCAGAAGATTTATTTTTGGGGGGTTAGGCTTGGGTGCTGCGGTTGTTGACAAATCTTGGTAGTAAATCACAGTTGCTTTGTACTATTCATTCTTACAGTCTTCAAGAAGAAACTCAGCTCTAGGTTGCGGGCTGGAAACTGGGGAGGATCCTTGGAGTTATACCAATGCCCAGGCGGCGCCCCTCATCCAAGGTGTCTGTCAGTGCCCTGCCCAAGTGTATAGAGGAGGGTGTGGCAAGCCATGAGGTCCT